GCTCTTCTATGACAACGATTGTGTTGTTGCAATTTTTGTGAGGGAGTCTATGATATAACTAAGTAAGCATACTTATTTAAGATGTTTTGTGTATCATACAGTCACAGTGTATTCCGTGCCTGCAAATTTTGGTGTTCCTCAAGGTTCTGTACGTTCCCTTACCTTTTTTTCGGTGTTTATTGATGACCTTTCTTCAACTTCGAATCCTATTCACGCCTTTGCTGATGACGCTACTCTACACTGCTCTGTCCTATTCCTCTTCGCTCATCGCTAACTCCAGCATTACCGACGACCGCTCCTCCTTTAGTTTCTCCCTAAATGCTGATCTGGGCTTTATCTCTGCTTGGGGCTATGGCAACCGTGTTCTGTTCAATGCCAGTAAAATTTCCCTTATGTCCGTTTCTCTTAAACACATATCTTTCTCTTCTTCCTTGAATTTCAACTCGAACACTCCGTTCCACAGAATCATGCAACCTTTTGTATCCTTCCTTATATTCTTCTCTTTCATGATCAATTTATATTTATCTGCTTGTTTCCTACGCTGCGCGCAAAATCGGCTCCAGCTTACGCGCCAGACGTTTCTTCATTCCCACTCACCTCTCACTTTACAAAGCTCAAATTCGCCCTACACTTGAATGCTGCAGCCATGTGTAGGCGGGAGCTTCGTCCACTTCTCTTTCTCCTCATAATCGGGTTCAACGTAAGACCATCCGTCTCATTGACCACCCGTCCCTAACATCCAACTTGGGCAGGCGCTACTTTATCCTTGTTCTATCGATACTACTTCGGATTTTGCTCTGATGAACTTTCCGCGTCCTTCCGTCTCCTACTTGTTATTCCTCGTAGATCCCGCGTACAAGCGGCTATCCGCCCCTTTCAAGTAACTATTCCCAGGTGTCGCATTTCTAACTTTCAATCATCTTTTTCCCCAAGAACTGTGGAACACTCCTCCTTTCGGTCTTCCCTCCAACGTACAACATCCTTATTTTTAAACGCAGAGTCAACAAGCTGGTTCTAGCTTGAATGTTTCCCATTCCTTCCCACTTGCAGTATATCTTCAGATCATGGGGTTTACCCCTTTTGCTCTATTCACTTGAAGCAATTATTTCCCGAAATAAACTTGAACATTGTTGTTGCAGTGTTGTGTTCTGTATTCACTTTCGTGTAGTAAAGGAAGTATCGTTGAACATTGATGAACCTTGGAAGCACCGCACTACTGTTTCATTCTTGGTACTGGCGTGATTTGTATGCAGTACGGATGATTCCCAACAAGAACGAAACAGCCGCTCTCGCTTCTCAGTGATAAGCAACACGGTGACTGTATCAGTAGTGCACTTTCATTAACAAAAATCCAGAAATTCTTTACACAAAACAACAGTGTTACAACAGATCGGTCGTTGTTCTCTACAGATTTTCGTCATTCAGATAACATCCCATGAGGGCTTTCAACTGTACTGCATCGTCACTGTCATACAATAGTGTATGCAATACTCACCCCATTAAAACCATGTAATTTAGTCTCATGGAATGGCTTTCTACTGAGCTTTAAATGATATGATGCATGATATTCAGTTCTTTAGTGCTCTAACAAGTTGAGTTCGGTGAAGGGTAAGCAGATTCTTATAGAATTGCATAGGGATCATTAATCGCTCTTCTTGATCTAATGCTCTTGCCGGAACCATTGTGGCACAAATATCTGTCGCTTTTTGTCCGAAGACAATCACAAAATACTGTCACCGATTTGAGTCTAATGAATAAACATGGATTCCTAGTTGCTTAAAGATGGACTGGTAACTGTATTTAGTTATCGAACCTTTGATATCACCTGGAGAGCTCTTAGGTTGTGTGCCTAATGGGACAAATAATTCATTCTGCCCTTTTAGAATGTGCAATCATATATTTCGCGTGTTGGTTCATTTACCATCGGTCCGTGTCGACACGGCCTTTTTATTTCAGCTTGTGCTAATAGATAAAAAAATAGTCTACTGTTTTCAGTTGAGTCACAGCTGAGTAAACAAGTGAAATCGGTGATTCATTCCTGGCGTATGTACGATCTATTCTCATTGACAGGAAACCTACGAAAAGCGGCGTGAATTGCAACGGAAGGAACTGCAACAAAAAGAAGAAGAAATGCGCCAGCTATTTGTGCAACGGGTAAAAGAGAAAGAGCAAGTGCTTAAAGAAGCTGAGCGCGAGGTAAGTGTTGTTCTGTTTGTCAGTCCAATAGTTCGTGTGTGCCTTTTCGTTTCATGGTACCTTTGGATCATCGTGGGTGATTCGTGCCCGACAGGTTTGGTAGCACTAAAGAGTAGATGATAACATATCATTTATCCTAGGTGGGAAGCTATCTCGTATGTATTGACGGTATTGTGCTTGTAAATAGTTGAGAGCCTTTCTAAACAAATCAAATTATGGCGCGGCTGTTGTTAAATTCGTATCCGCGTCATCGCACAGCGAAACAGTTAACCGAACCTCGTGGTCTGCTGCGCAACTCACACGGTACGCAATGTTCTAGGTAAATGTAAATGTATAAAGTGAGTAAATATGTTCCTGCTTGGAAGAGAGGAAATAATTTACATTAGTTACTTTTCGAAACGTCTCATTTTCTGATATGATGGATGATTGTTAATACTTCTCTAGAACGTTTGCAAATATCAACGGTGGTAAATTAACTCTTCACTATTTGTCCGCTACTTCCCCACATAGTACTCACAGTGACACAAGTATGCTGGCGTTCGTGGTCGACGGGTGTGCTCCAGAACAAGCGGCAATCTTGATGTTAATTATGCCACTCATAGTACAAGGCGATATTGCCGATTCCTTTCCTCGACTCCTGGAGCACATGAGCATTAAGTCATACTCAGGCCTAGGCTAGATCGGAAATCCGTGCTACAGAAACAACGTTTGTTATGAGCCCATGATTGTGCTTTGCGCTGTCCAGATGCAAAGTGCTTGTTCAAGACT